GGACACTGCTCTAGGAAGTGGGATAATGTCCCCAGATTCTTGAAGCTGCTGGGAGAATAAAGCTGAAAATACAGCCCAGAACAAACATCACCCACCCCAGTTTTGGTGGGGACTCTGCCACCTCACTTTCCTTCTCTCCCTGTCTCTCTGGCACCCCCCAATCCAGCTCCACCTTTCTCTGCCCTCCATCAATGTGGCCAACTGGCTTCTGCCCCAGGGCCTTTGCACTTGCTGTTCCCATTGGGACACTCTGCCCTTGATTATCTCCTGATTTGCTCCTTCATTCGGCACCACCTCCTGTGATTCCTCTCCCAGATTACTCAACTCTAAAAAACATCCTCCTTTGCCCTCCATGGAAGAAGCACCATTTATTCTCCAGGAAGCTGTTTGCCACCTTCTTCCTTCGGATCCTGTGCTGGGCGGGTGGGGTTGTTTGTGTCATTCATGTGTGTCCCATCACTGGGCTCACAATAGGTGCTCAATCAATGTACACGGAATGGATGAATGAAGGAATGGTAGTTATACCTAGCTCACTGGAAGGGGCTGGTTGATGGACTTAGGGCCTCCTTGATCTGCCCAAGAAGCCCCCAGTCTCAGGGACAGATCTGGACACAGCCCCTCTTCCCAGCCCTGTGGGGTCAGGGCTGGCCCAAATGGAGGGGCAGGGCTGGGGTGTCCCAGAGAGCTCCCTGGCTGGAAGGAAGGAAATGGTAGGGAAGGGCATTAGGTCAGAAGGAATAGTAAGTGCACTGCAGAGGAGCCTGGGGGGTGGAGGTTGGGGGGTCAGGCCTTAGAAAGTGGGGCTGGCAAAGTCTGCCACTGTACTTAGAAGCCAAGGTCCTCCCCTCCCAGCTTCAAGGACCCTCCCCTCCCCTGTTTGGGGTATACTGAGCCAGACCCAAATGGTGGACAGGGTTCAGTCAGATGGAAGGGGTCTAGGGAAGTCCCCAGGGGCATGGCATGGTTAAAGAAGGCTTCTTGGAGGAAGGAATACTGGAAGTGGGTTTTGAAGGATATGTAGGAGTTTGCCTGGAAGCTACGGAAGGGCACTCC